TTTGGACATCCCGGCGTCCGCGGTGCCAGAGGACAAGAGGACAGAGGGCCAAAAGAGGAGGATGAAAAGGAACAGTGTATTCTTGAGCGATTAACAACCTGGGCGTGCTGCAGGGGAAGACAAATGGTGCGCTACATCGATTTCGCTATTACAATGAGCACTATTCAATCATGCTAAATCCACAGGGGCCTAAGAGCACCATTAGGAGGTCAGCGCCTCCGAATGGCACAGGCAACAACAATCTATAAATGATCTATTTAATGTACTGATATAAAAGAAAGTAGGGCATTTCACAAATTGACATCAGAGTGCTTTCCCAGAATTTCCCAACTGTGCCTCTGCCATTTTGTTAATTAGGTAGTTTGCTAATTTTCCAGTAATCACAGTGGGGGGGGGTTCTTCCCCACTTTGTTCAGTTTAGACTGAAATCATTACAGTGCTGAAGCTCTCTTTGAGTACTCACCTCTCTTGTTCCAGTCTCATCTGCTGGGTCTCCTCTTCTGATGCCTGCATGTCCTCTGCTTTGGATTTAGTGGAGCTCCTCCTCTCCATCTTGTCGTCCAGCCGCTCGTCCTTCCGGTTCTTTCCAAACCTGGAAAAGAGAAAAGGTTTGGATTTATATTTGGGAAGCAGCTCAAAGGGAGCGTCCTTGGGAAGCCATCCATTATTGGAAGAATAAGAATAATGTGAATGTAATCAGAGTGCATCAAGACATATCAAATGATAAGACGACACTATCGCCAGTGTGTGAATGTGTGTGTGAATGGGTGGATGACTGAATGTAGTGTAAAGCGCTTTGGGGTCCTATGGACTAGAAAAGCGCTATACAAATGCAGGCCATTTACCATTTACCAATTCCCACCCTACCAACTGTCCACACAACACAGCAGAAAAGATTCAGCTATGGTATAAAAAGTAACTCTGCTTCCACTTTCTTCCTCTGTAGTTGATTACATTACACATATGGCCCACTGTGATCAAAAGTGTGCCAGACCAGTGAAAGCTCCCCTTTCACTCAGTGTAAAGAACTTCAACTACATATTTAGAGCCTTCTGTTTGACACCTGTGGTTTAGATGTTTGAAAGCTGTGCAACCAGGACAACTGGAAAGCTGGCTGATATCTCTAACACTCTGGCCAATGCAAACTTTTACAATTTAATGACAGGAGTGAGACACTGGTCTGGACATATATGAGGCAAGGTGAGGGACAAGCTGAGAGCATGATTCTCGTCAGATATGCTATGCACTTGGCAAGTCAAATGAGTGGAGAGCGTCTGAAGACAGAGCGTGAGAAAATGATGAGGAGAGGATACAGATCGCAGGCTTACAGCTGACGGGGGAGTACGGGGACATCTACAGGACCACACAGTCTCAAATGGCTTTGATATCTGATTCCATCGTCTGACTTCATCACTGCGCAGGATTACACGATAAAAGAGCAACTTCACGATGAGACTGGAACAGCAAATGCAGTTTTTATGGGAGCACGATGTCATATCCTGCTCCGTGGTGCAGCAAGCCGTGGAGGAAGTGAAAAACATGTACACAATGGAAGGATGAAAGGTACCAAGGAAGTGCACATCTGTACACCACACAGCAGCTCTATGCATGGCACACTGTCTGCTCTGGCATGACATCATGTTGCTGTGCTGGTGATTTGGCCAGTTTTTTTGTCAGTTTTCTCAGTATAGACTTTTACAATAGCTATAAAACAAATGAATCCAATCATTAGTCAATCATCTTTCACAAAGCTCAGTGGAGTTTAAAAGTGTGACGTGAGAAGAAATTTAACAAAAACAGGACTGGAATTTATTGATCCATCGGAACAAAACTCTGCGTTCTTGCATTACAAACACCAACATCGCTTCTGATGTCCCCTCTGGGCTTTTGTTTTTTTTGACCACTCCCCTCTAACTTCAGACAGAGAAGACATCAAGCTCTGTGTGCTCCAAGCCCCACGATGCTGGGGATGGTATGGTGCCAAGTTTATTATACTTTTTTTTTTCCATGGCTGTTCTTTATTTGACAGTTTGAGAACTTTCTCTAAAAGCTGAAAAAAGATTACATCAGATGTGGTTCACTTAGGGCCAGTGAAAGGAAATATATTCATGAAATGGGAGACTGGTTCCCTCAAGGATGTTTATTATTCTACTTTACATTAAAAGCAGCCTGGACCTTTGTGCAAATGGCTTCTCTTTTGGTAGAACCTGTTTTGGAATTGTAATCTTTCGAATGTGCTACAGGAGACCCGAGTTTGTGGCTTCGTAAAGAGCCCAGAGGCAAAGGGAGTGATATGTGGGCTCTTTTGTAGCACAGATAGCATACATTACCTGATTAATTAATCAACAAATGGCTCTAGTGAAGGCATAAAACTCTGTGCTAGAGCTGGGAATGATAATAATAATGAACCTGCTATCTATCATCAGGGCAGGTGACAGCTTCCCTGGCTTCCCTTCAAGGACTTTCATTAACTTCCTGAAAGAAGTTGACCTTTCTGTTTTCAACACATAAATATGCTAAAAAGCACGATCACTGGAAAAAAGCTTGTGTTGTCTGTGAACAGTGACCCAAATGTATTTGTCTGCAACTAAAAGAAGGTGATTTGTGTGCAGGAGTGCCCAAACTTTCCATTGGGGCTACAAAGTTTTAGAGGTCGATCCCTGATCCACCATCAATCTTTATTAGTTTATAAGTGGATAACGGGGTGCGCAGCTGGAGAGAACAAGTCACGCTGCAGGTGTGTCCACATCTGTTTGAGATCACGTCGACAAATTTTCTGCAGCATCAGTAAAGTGCAAAGTTATCTGCATGATTAGTGGGCTTCTCAACACTGTGGTGGAGCTGTGTGCCAACCAAAGTTAACCTCGTGTCTCGTCAAGCTGGTTGATTGGTTGGTTGGACGCCCAGAGCTCAAACTTTTCCTGAGCTTCAGCCTATGCACCAGGTAACTGGGATGCTTACTACACTTCATTCTGACTTGGCTAAAGTTAAGAGTCATGTAGACATTTGCGTCAGTAATATGCTGGTGATTTTTTTTTCCTGCTGCTCACGTATAATTTAAAGTGGCACAGTAAGGTGATACTTGTGTGGCAAACTGTGCTCGGCTGAGCTTTCCTGGGGAGTAAGAAGCAGCTTAGTCGTCTTCAATGATTTGTTTGTTCACTTCTGGTAAAGAAGAGCATGCTTCACTTTTTAGCTACTTTTCAGAATCCAGTAATAGACTGTGCTCACACTACGGTCACATGAGCTGTAGTTTTAAAATGCTGAATGCTGCCATCAATGACTCAGACAACAGCAGTGAAATATCCAAAATTATTCACAAGAGAGCTACTGACTGAATCCTTTTTTCTCCATTTTATCTTTGTAGTTGGATCTGTTCAGATCAGTAACTCATGTGTAGAGTGCAATTGTTACGTTGTTATTCCCAGTATGAACATATAAACCTGTGCACTACTTAAGCTGTAGTAAAATACTATTGCCCCATAGTGTATATAAAAAAATACCTCTTTTAATTCTAAAATGTGACCTATGAAAGTGAACTAGTTTAAGTCAACTTGTAGCGTTTATGAAGAGTGAACTGTTTATCTCTCTCTCCTTTTGTTTTTGCTCAATCTCTTCCAGACATCCACTAAAAACATAAAGTAACCTTAAGGGAGACAAACCTCGGCCCTCAACTTTTTTTCCCTTCATCTGGATCGACATGTGTACAGTGAGCAGAGTCTTACAGTATGACATACTGCAGATTAAGCCGAGCAGGACTCTGAACACGCAGCAACTCCCACATGAGAAACTATTTTCCCATCGCTGGTGGCCAGAGGAGGAAGGATGCAGAGGTGAAGCACAGGTGAAGTAAAGGTTCTGCACTGCCTGAGCTATTAGAAGGCTACTGGGACACTTGCTGGCTTACAGCGTGGCTCTGTTCTTTATATGAACAGTCTGGGTCCCTCCAGTGGGAGCCACAGGAGAGCAGAGGACTACACTAATGCCAGTATTATATTTAACACTAGCTATTTTCCCCAAAGGAAAATATGAAGCTCCTTGGCATCAGCAGTTGTGTGTACTGTGTAATGGCAAAACATATTGACTTTCATACCTGTCTCTGAAAGATAAGTGTCACATTTGAGACCTGAAAGGAATCTAACAAAAAACAGTAACGATTTGGAGTTAATCAGCATCAGCTGGCCAAACTCGAGAATTTCTCCGTAAAACTCTCAAGCTAGTATTGGCACCTTGGCATTAATCGGCACAGGCAGCAGAGCAGTCATATTGACAGCGAGGCCGATGAGGCTTGATAATAAGATATTGACTGGCAGCTGCAAGTCAGGAGTAGAATGACGATTGTGTAACTGTAGCATACATAGAACTGATTTTACCCTAAAGGTCTGGCCAGCTTCCTAAAGACTGGACTGCACTACGGTGTATTCGGAATCTGGAAATTGCCATAAGATTTTAAGAGCAGAAACTTTTGAACTGGAGGGTAGGAATTCTTGACCTTCGGAACAACTTGATACTTGATGCTTACAGATCCAACTTCTGATTCCTTTACGGATTCTGGATCAGTTCTCTGTGTTGCCTGAACAGTGCAGATTAGGAAAAGGCTCTGCTGTCATGAGCCTAACATCACTATGCTGCAGAAGAGAACAACTATTGATCAAAGAGAACTGTAATATTTGTAGGGGTATGATGCCAGCGTATCCTTCAACATCAACTCCAACCTTCATTTTATTATCTTATTTTGGCAGCACTGGCACATGTATTCTGATAAAACCTCGTAGGGGTGTAGAGTGGAGTCATGTTAACAATCCATTAAAATTTTTCTCACATACACCAAGACCTTCAAGGTCGACTTAATGATTTATTGGTCGAAAATTGACAAAAAGGCCTAGAACTTAAAAACTATGATTCTAAAAAGGAAATGTTGCAACTTACATCATCATAAAGCGCTGATGTGTTTTTTTTTCTACCCAGTATCAGTCCACCAGACCGAAGCAGTGTTTAATGATCCACTGTCAGCCACCTACCTCACTGTGGCGAGCAGCAGGTAAGAGTGATGCATACACAAATACACACAGAGGAAGACGGCGAGATGAGACACAGATTGCACAACTATCATGTGTGCAGAGACGTTCCGTAGATGCGATCAGCACTGTAGTCGCATGCAAACAGAATCTAGACAAATTCAGAAAGTATTCACAACTCATGGGACGCATTCATTCAAAGCCTGAGCTACTCTGGGTTATTTATCACTTTAGTCCTGATAATGACTGATTGGCTATCAAAGCTCATTTGGATGATGCGTAATCTGACATGCATCAGTAAAATCTGCTTTATTAATGTTATAATGGCCGCAGATTTGATTAAACGTAGAAAGCAAAATTGAAGCATTCAATCCACGTGTCCTGACTTTGACATCTGCAGACAGCAACTGATCAAATAAAATGTTTTCAAAATGCTGCCACACATTAGGCGTATTACTGAGTAGCAGCCTTCCCTGGATTTGTCTGCTTCCATTAGAAAAGGAGTCAGTAAATAGGTACTCCATTCAGCGTGATACATCATCATACATCACAGAAAGCAGAAGGGTTTATACCA